CTCAACCGCGCAGCACAAATCTCACCCAACTACGAAACAAGTCGAGCACAACAACAAAAACGAAGCACGCTGAGGCAGAAAAAAAATGCTCGCTTTGTGTTTTGTGACGTCAGAGCTTCAATGTTGCCAACGAAAGCAGCGGTAACGCTAGAATGCGATTGGAGCAGCATAAATTCAATTACTCACCCAGAGGTGCATATAAAATTCAGATATTGCACGTACGATTTGTCTCGAGGCAATAACAACGATATTCAATTGTTTTCTCGAATACAAAATTTGACCGGATAATCCCTTTAAACAAAAAAAGTGATGAACGAAACAAAAATTTTTGAGAGAAAATTATTTCAAGTGTTCATGCCGGAGCATGTAATGTGGCACATAGACTCAGTAGAGGATATAGGACCGCCTTGAGCCTCTTTCAGGCTTGCGATCCTCAACGGAACCAAGCGCGCGAGTTCAGAGGTGAAATTCCTTTCAGAAGAATGCGCAATAATGCGGAGTCGCTGCCTCGAGGCAGAGCGTTCGGCCGGTGGGCGGAGCTTGTTGCCCGCTAGAACCAGAGCTCTGGCTAGAACCAGCGGATTTCGCGTTAACACAAAATGGTGTTACTTCTTTCTATCCATTATTCCTGAGAAATCGCATAGAGTTCCAATGAGTCTGAGCCACAAAATGACGGACGGAAGTAGTCATCCCCTGGTTCTCAGACTACCCTGCTGTGGTTGCCAGGCTGTTTAAGAAGGCTAAACTCTCTCAGTATAAACGGCTCTGCCTCGAGGCGCCGTGAGCTCCTCCGGTGGTCGGCGGAGTCTGCAGAAGGGTCATCACAAACGTTGGTATCTGCCTAAAGGGCCGCCCACACTAGCGAGAAAACGCGCCCGGCGCGCCGATAAATCGGTTAAGCGGGAAGATAAAGGGCGTGTCTCTGCACGCGCTCGTGGCGCTGACTGTGCTTCGGCGACATTTTGTTACTTGCCGCGATCGGCGTGCCACGCGCGTTTTCTCGCTAGTGTGGGCGGCCCTTAACAGTGTTGCAGGGTTACCACTCCGGAGTTGGAATGATTCCGGAATTCTTCCGCATTTTCGCAACCCCGGAATGGAATGGGAATGGAATGGCGGCAACGTTGAGCTCGGGAATGGAATGGGAATGGAATTAGGTGCCTTTTGCCTGGAATGGAATGGGAATGGAATGGGGGCCCAATACTTTATTTTATTTATTTTTTTTATTATTTTTGTGGGAGGAGGGGCAAGGGGTTACGTTTAGCTAAACCGAGCCAATGAGCGAGTCAGTTGCTCAGAAATAAAATGAGCGGGAACCTGCTATCCCGCGTGGAGTCATAGACTTATATACGAAAAAATGCAACACAAAAAACAAGCGTCGGAGCAAATACCAGAGGAGGGAGAGGGGGGCGGTGGCGCCTTTCACGGACGCGCAGGCGACGGGCTTCACTGGTGTTACACGAGAGTGAAACAAGAAACGAAGCACCAAGCAAAAGAACGGAAGGGAGCGGCAAAGAAAGAAACCACTTTGTCCTCATCGTCCTTCATGACTTCCTCTTTTTTTTTCTTTTTTTTTTTTTTTGCGTTGGCATGGAGATTGCAGGCGCGCGCACAGACTGAGATATGGGAGCGGGGGGGGGGGGGGGGGGGGGGGCAATTCATAACTCGCAGAGCTGTGATAACTTGTTGACTCGCACGCCGCCCAAAGATGATCAGTTATTGTTTTCTTATAGTTCGAGGAGCGTTGTTTAGCAGGGGGCCAACCCTGTTGCCTTCCACGTTCGTTCGCGCGCACTCCTTTGAAGTGCGAAATCTGGGTTTGCTTCGGCATTAAAACCAAGCGAGATTCACTTCTCTCTTCCCCTCTTGCGCTTTGCACCGACGCTTTTTTTTTCTTTATATATACTGTATTATTACGTGTAAGTCCGCCTTTTACTTGGGCTTTGTTCCGATGCTTGTTTTCTGTGTGTTTTACATTCAAGTGGGTTAGGGTTACAAGCAACATAGCGGATGCCCGCTCATTTCCTTTGACTTTAGTCTCGGTATACTTTGTTTCACCTTGCGATGGACCGCTGCGGACGCTTTGAGTCACCCAAGGCAATCCAGCACCGTGAGCTTAGTAAGATCAGTGCTTTTTTAAGGCATTTAGCTTTTTTTTTTTTTGCAATTGTCTATGTATTTGACAAAAAAATTGGGTTGTGTGTGTGTTTATACAGCCTAGAACTTGGTCTGCCTCACAGGGGCGACGAGTCTCCCAGCTGTAGATGAGAAATTTAGGGGTCTTTAACGTGCATCACGCTGGGGTCTTTAACGTGCATCACGCAGTAGTGATACACGACCGCACGCCGGTACGATGCTCATCCAGATCGAAACGGGCAGGGGTGGGGCTCGAACCCAGGATCCCTGGGTTCTGCAGCGCGAACTTCCGCTCCACGTGCTCCGAGCTGGTGTGCGCTAGACCACTCGGCCACCGATCCCCACCCCCCCTGTATGTATGTATTTGACAATGTCAGCTTTATGCTGCTCATGCCAGGAACATTGCACAATGTATCTGTCAAGTTCCAATTTTTACGTTTAGGAATTAGAGGAGTGGAATGGAACGACTCAGCCATTTCAAAAGTGGGGATGGGCCAAGTGTCCCCATTCCTAGGAGTTGAAAAGAATTGAATGATCGACAACTTTGACTCCCAGAATGGAATTGGAATGGAATGGGGGTGCCCATTACGCAACACTGCTGCCCAGTGTCCGCCGGCAGATGTCGTATGCACAGTGCGGAGCGCACTGCTCTCGCGCTCTAGACAAGTTTGATGCCGAGTGCTTTTTTTTTTCTTAACTACTTGAAGTAAAGTACAAGGCAAATTAGAGGTTATGTACTGTATTTTCCGGACTATAGTCCGCGTAGTATACATGTTTAAAAGCTGAAAGTTCACCCGATGCGGACTATCTACAGGTGCGGACTATACAATGATTTGTGTTTTTCTAGATCGTTCACTGTGACAAGTCGTGAAGGATTTTACGAATAACCAACTATATTATATGTTGGTTTATGTATGATACAAGTTTTTTTTGTGAGCTAATACACTAGGCATTTGTCAAGTTATGCTCTGTATGATAGTTTTTTGCTGTTCTTTTTTTCGGACTCGGCACTAAGTTCGGACTATGCATGGGGTACGTATTATGCACCGGGTGCGGACTATGTAAGCGAATACTTTTATATTTGACCCCGATTTTGCCGCTGCAAGACTACGCACCAGGTGCGGACCATAACCCGGAAAATACCGTACTTAAAGTAGTAAGCACAACGGATGCAATGTAGCTGAAGTAAAGAACTATAAATATAATGTACTACCCTAATCATACTTAGCGGAACATGGGAGCACATGGCATCGGACACTAGAGAGTTTTAGTAGATCGTTCCCATGACTCCGATAACGATACCCGATACTCCGCCACCGCCTCCCTTGTGCATGCATAGTATCGTTATCGGGGCTATCGGAGGTATCGGAACGATCTACTAAAACTCTCTACTATCGAAGCACTGTAACGGCCAGGCACGCTACTGCAACTGCAGCATCGCCGGGTCGTCAGAGAGCTCCGATAGTACCCAATGCCACGCGCTCCACTGTTTCCGCTCACTGTGATTAAGACAGTACTTGCAAACTACAAATACTTTTTAACACAATCTTTCATATAAAATAAATGTAAGGGCGCAAACGAGCTGGTGTACATTAACCTGCTAACTGTAGGAATGTAAATTTCTGGAAAGAGGTGTTCCTAGGGTTTTCCCTTCCACTTTTTTTAGCCTGTTTTTTTCTATTTAACCAGGCTTTAAAAAATAAAATTTCAGCTGTGTTTGAGACTTTTGAGTGTGTGTACTTTCACCTGCAGTCTCGGGGTTTTTGAATCGTACACAATCTGTCATGCCCTTTCATTTCCTTATACTGTGTTTTTTCTTTAAAATGGTATGCAATGCCCCAGGGGTAATTGGGGGAGCATCAGTTCTTTTGGAAATGGCGGCGAATAATGAATAAAGTAGCGTGGCCACAAAGTAGTTGTTTTACTTTCGCTGACGAACTATTTAACACAGTCAATTCATACGTTCTAAGGCGCTTATTTGTACCGGTCTCATAGCCACCATTACATCACTCAAAAAAATGACTGCATGATGTCTCGAAAGGCACCTTATTGCATAAGGAAAATACACCTCTTCTTTTTCTTCTTCTTCTTTTTTTTTTTAGAGGTTGCTTAACACTTGTACAGAAGTTGTGTACTCTAGTACTGTGGAATCTATGGATGCGAGCGCGTGATCATTGAAAGAGCTTAATTTCACCGAGTGCAAGAAGGCACTGCCCAGATCAACGCGCTCGTCTCCGTACCTTTCTCAGCGCTATGCACGACATATGGAGTATAGTTATTGCCTTCTGAGAACGACACAAGAGACGATTTCTATGGAAGCTGGCTCCGTCGGGCACCCGGCAGCTTGGAGATTGCCTAATTGTCTAATAAGATTGGGTAGTGGATGCCGAAAACAACAGAGTAACTTTGGCTTGCCTTACCCAGCTACTATGACCAAAAATGTTTCACAGAATTTTGGGAATCTACTTTGAAGTCGGGAGTTGTACTTTGCTCAGAATCTACCGGGAAAAAAACTTATTGCACAAATTATAATCCAGATGGAGCCACATTCCCCCTCCGCAAACTTTGTTTGGGGGTGTCCAAAGCTTTTCTTCTCTTTTTTCCATGGTAAGTTTCAAAGCTATAGGAAGCAACTAGAGTTTGTAGCATGGCATCTGTAGGCTCTACGTCCTCGCAGTTTGTGGCAGCGGTGTCTTTTATTCTGCTCATAATCACGGACGGAATTCAACAGTTCACCGGCGAATGTTCAATCTCGATAGCGCTCTAGTGTCACCTGCTGTTCCCTCTGAATGGAGTGCTAGCCCTTGCCTTTGTGGAATGCAGTATGTATATGTGATTATATGAGAGTTCTTTTTTGCAGACAACATATGAAAGTGATGAATCCTACTAACGCCTGCTTCCCGGTTCTAGTGGTCATTCTTTTGAATTCACCTCTTCTAACAACTGCCTATTCTGTTCCTGCCAAGGCCGCCGACGAGGGTAAGAGAACTGAGGCTGGACGCTTCTTTTGTTCACCTCTTTGCCCGCTTAACTTCTTTTCTTTTATAGTCTGTGTAACTGAAGGTGAGGCTACTTAATGGACCCTTTCTGGAGTCACCTTTACCAAAATGTCTGGCTCTTTGCAAAGATGCTAACAGTCATGTCTCGTCCATAGGACACGTCTGTTCTCCAGAAAAGTCATGCAGAATGCGGGCAATCCGTAGTTGCAGATGAAGGTAAAAAAAAAAAAAGATAGGAATAGATGCTGAATATTACCATAAAGTGTTAATTTTATGCAAAAGCAGTGCACATGACTAGTGAACATTCTTCAAGTTTGTCATCAACAACTTGGGGCGAGGGGCAAGTGACCCGTTTGGCCAGAGAGCCCAGAAAAAGCGAGCAATCTGATCTCTTTCTCAAGACAGCAGGTTAAGAAATAAAAGGAAGCTCTTCTAGTGGCGTAGTAACGGGGGGGGGGGGGGGGGGGGGGGGGGGTTGCAAGAGGATCGAAGGAGTGAACTGAAACAAAGTTCTAGTGCCAATTGTATTGTTTAAATGTCTACCACATTCTGGCAACATCACAGAGACACCAATATTTTATTCGAAAAGATGCAAAAACTTTAAACCGTTTACCAGAATGCACCTGGTGGATGTTCCCATAGATACTTGGAATGTCGTTTCGTCAACTGTTGCGTAACAGCAGCGCCGCTCCGCGGAAGCATGGCGCAACAAGTGCAGATTGCCCTATCGAACTTGGTCGAAGCAAATTTCCCTTCTCTTTAGCGCCTACTCAACTCCTGCGCATAGGCGTGCACATGGGGGGGGGGGGGGGGGGGGGGGGGGGGGGGGGGAATTCAGTATTTTATTGGTGTTATTTTTACAAAATATTACTAAGTTTTTTTCCTTTTTTTTTTTTGTTTTTCTTTGGGACCACTAGCTGGGCGAAACACTGAAGGCCGGGCTCCCGAGAATCGAGCAGCCCTGCGGCCATATGGTCACTTCTACAAAAACAGTGGAGCCCTACTTTTTGACCGAGAGTAACAAAAGAGAAACAAGGAACTGCAAAGCAACGACGAGGTCGCATCTTTCAACTCGCGGCATTTATTTTGAATCCGTACGCTTACTAGCTGTACAGGGATTAGTGTAAGAGGGAGAAATTCAAATTAAGGGGCCGGAGGATAAAATAAGGAACTGGAAGCCAAGAGGAAAGCACCATTATGCTAGAGAGTAGTAGTAGTCCATGCGCTAAGGTCGCCACAATAATCTGTTTTGCTCGGGGCGAATCTCTGAAAGGTTGAGTGGGTGAGAGGGTAGCACAGCATGGGTCCTCCTAAGCAAGGGGCTGATGAACGAATAAAGCAAAGTATGACGTTTGCTTTCGGCTTAAAATTGGGCGATCCTCTTATTGTGGGGTGCAGAGGAAAATGGAACATGTCGCTTTTTCGCTTGGCAAAGGGCAGTGACTACTCTCGCAAAAACAAAAGAATGTTAACTGGATAAAAAAAAAAGATATCGAAAGGGCCCGCGTTATTAGGGAATAGGACTATGGCAAGACATATTGCTACTTTGCTCTGATGCAGTTTACCTTTTACCGATAGTTCGCGATATATTTGGAAGCGACGAAAGAACCCTCGGGATGTCCTCGAGTTTGTAGACACGAGCTACCCGTACGTAATGTCTTCACAAGTTACAAAGTTCTTGCAGGATGCTTGAGGCAGTTGAGCTCCTGGGAAATCTCACCATTTTACAGATATCACACATTTTAAGATTGCCCGTGTCACAGCGTGCACTGAGCCTTGGACAGTCAGACATACGAAGTTAAAGCAGTGACCACGTTCTTTAAAGTCGCCCTGAAAAGCTTAAAAGTTTTAAAGCAGATTATATATATATATATTAAGATCGGTCAGTGTGTTTCTTTTTTTTTAGTTTCTGTCAACTTCTCTCTCCTTCATCCTCCTTGCCACTATAAAATGCAAAATATGGACCCCGTGAGGTGATAGACTGTTTCAGCTTGTAACCACTGCCTGGTGCCCTGATTCGATTTTCCCACATCCGTCTCCTGTGATCCCATTACTGTGCATATGACTTGGAAGACTGTAAGAGTTGAGGGATATCAGAAACTTCAATTTATTTTCTTGATCTTAAATAAAACTAGCACATGCAAGAAAAAATAGTTTGATGTTCTTCACTCTATGAGTGACAGGGAATGAATGGACCAAAGTCTGCAAATTGTTGCAGCACCCCTTTAAGCTGGCAGAATTGTGTAGACAGATCGATCTCCGAAAATTTTGTCTATATTAAGGGTTCATATCTAGCAATACGCCACTGTGTATCAGTTTCTTTTTTTGGGCGTTTGACTCGTAGCCATGCATCAGAGCATATGTCAGCTACGCTTAAATCGTGCTTAAACGAGAGTGAACTACTGGGGCTAAGAAGGATTGAAATAATTGGGTGTGCTCTGGGGCAGTGGTGTCACTAGGGTCAGTGGCAACCGGGGCGGTGGCCCACGGCGACTCCCCCCTCCCCACCCCCCCCCCCCCCCCCCCCCTCTCTCTTGGACAGCCGCGACAACCCCAAAGCGCTGCATCCGGGGTGGTCCGCCCCCCGCACCCCCCTTGTGACACCACTGCTCTGGGGAATTTCCAGCTGCCCAGAAATCTACTTTGAAAAATTCTCATGTAGCTTATGTGTAAACTCGCAAGCAACGTACGAAGTGTCCTAAAATAAAATTTACAGGGGTTTTATCACCACAAAATTAAACTATGCATCGTCGAACGCTCATTCTTTGCCCAAACAGCGCTAGCGGCCCGAACCAGTTGCCAAAATTTCAACACTAACCATTATTTTACTCAAAAGTTATACCCGATTTTCTCAAATTTGCAATGGGAAAATGGCGGCCGACAAGGTTCACCAACTCTCCCACGTCACGCCGCGGTGGTGGCGCGTCGGGCGCACTTCCGATCTGGGGCGGTGGGCAGATGTCGCCGTGCGAGACATGCATTCTTGTGTTCTTTTCGGAGAAACCAGACAAAAAACCTGCGTTCTCGTCAAAATGCTGCGACGGGTGCTGTACCTAAAGAGTCTGGAAAGGTTTGAAGATCAGTTTTCATGTGTTTCTGCCCCCTCCGTTAGTGCGAGTACGTGGATAGTAGCCGTGAAAAGGGTAAACCAGACTCTGTCAAACTACGATTGCTTGTGCGGGCAACACTTTGTGGTCGCCAGATGTATTTGTTTTGTTCCAACATGAACGAGAGAAAACCGCCAAGATGTCTGGGCCACCCGTGACCCGCGGGTTCAGTGCGTCTTCAAATTCACATGGCCACCTTATCGTTCGAACTTTCGTCTGGTCTTTCGAACTTGTCTGCTTTTTATCGTCTGCTCGTTTAAACAAAAGTGGCCCGTAGACCAAACTTTGACCCGGTGATAGCAATAAGAAGTAATTGCAGGCCTCAAAAGACTTAAGTAGGCTTGGTGTAAACTGTAGATACAAGATGTTGATCATTGGTACCAGTGTCCATCACCGACTTGTTACGCTTGGTCTGTTCCCGCTTCCGAATTTCAGTATCGACGTCGATCATCGCCGCTGCCTTCTACACTTTTGCAGCACGAGCGACGTCGCTACCGAAAATATCTAGAAGAGTCTCATCAAGGTTTTGGCGTCCATTTTGCGGCGTTTACGCGAATGAATCGCCGCACGTCAAATTATTTACGCAAAGTTTAGCCGTGTAACGAGCCTTGATAATTTCGCTCAGGTGACGAAGAATCGACAATTCCAACGCAAAAAAGGGTATGTAGACTCACACAGACGCCGACAACGTGACATTCCAATGGTTTGTTGACGCGGGACGCGGTGCTTCTTGCCTGCACTCCATTGCGCAAGCGTTCGAACTGTCGTCTGCTCTTTCAAACGTGCCTGCTTTTTGTCGTCAGCTCGTTCAAACGACAACGTCCCGTAAACCAAACGTTCACCCGGTAATTGCGATAAGGACTAAGTGCAGGCCTCAAAACACTTTTGCAGGTTGGTGGGGGTAACTAGGCTAAGTGTAAACAGTAGATAGAAGATGTTGATCATTGTTACCAAAGGCCATCACCGATTTCTAATGCCCGATTCTACTTGAGGTTTTCAGTATCGACGTCTACCATCTCAGCTACGGTCCACCTTTTGCAGCCGGAGCGACGTCGCGACTGAAAATAGCGAGGAGAATCTCATCGTGCGAGTCAGGCTTTAGCGCCCATTCTGCGGCGTCCACGTGAAATGAATCGCCACAAGTCACATTACTCCACTGATCTCAATGACAATTGCTGGATCGCGCTTGCCGCTCCCGCAAGTGAAGCCACCGGGCGTCACTCGCTTGGGATACGATTTGCCGTTTTTGCTAGCCTTTGCTGCGGTTTTCCAGCGTGCTGACGACACGTTTTCTACTCGTTCGTCGTCATTCGCCGAAGAAGTTTTTTGAAGACTCTATGTATTGTTGAGACTTTCCGTTGTGAACACGTGGAAAATTTTACGAAAGTGCAGTGTCGCAGGAAAAAGGCACAACGCGTCGAAAGGAAGGGCTGGCGGCGTGTTCAAAGCATCCTTGGCACGCCGAAGTGCCGTGTCTCTGTGCCTTCGCGCGCTTGGATACCGACCAAGAACCGACGCCGTGTGAATGTGTTTAGCGAGTGCAATGTGCATGAAGCCGTATCAAAAGGTACAACTCGTCGAAAACGTGTCGCCGGTGTCGCGGCGTGATCAAAGCTTCCTTGGCACGCCGAGTGATGCATCTTTGTGCCTTCGCACGCTTGGATACCGGTCAAGAATTGACGCCGCGCCAAAGTTCTGAACGTGTGTCGCGCGTAGATGCCTTTAGATCATTTATATATATCGGCCACGGAGTTCTGGATCGTCCAGCTGTTCCGGTGAGTTGCTATCAATAAAAGGGGGAGATCTGTACGTATTCTTATGTACTATATTAACCATGGCTATGTCCCAAATCTACTCTAATAGATTCCGTAACGTTGTACGTGGAGCCAGGGGGGTTTTCAAAAGCAAATGTACAAGACGGCGAGAATGAAAATCTTTGAAGCGCGGCCGATATGGTCGTGTGCAATCTCTTGACCATTTACAATTAGGCGAGTCGCGTAGGTTGATAATAAGCCAGCACTGATCAGTGATGAGGAGCTGTTGTGCACGGTATTGTGTAAATCGTCTAAGGACGAAAAAAAGACGTACCTTCTCCCCATCTCCCGTCGCTAGTGGACGCTGGATTAAGCTCGTTCCTAAACCGCGAGGGGAAAAGACGCTGATCCAGAGGCACGAACAGCTTCACGCACATTGCACTCGCTGAACACATACACACGGCGTCGGTTCTTGGTCGGTATCCAAGCGTGCGAAGGCACAGAGACACGGCACTTCGGCGTGCCAAGGATGCTTTGAACACGCCGCCAGCCCCTTCCTTTCGACGCGTTGTGTCTTTTTCCTGCGACACTGCACTTTCGTAAAATTTTCCACGTGTTCACAACGGAAAGTCTCAACAATACACAGTGTCTTCAAAAAACTTCTTCGGCGAATGACGACGAACGAGTAGAAAACGTGTCGTCAGCACGCTGGAAAACCGCAGCAAAGGCTAGCAAAAACGGCAAATCGTATCCCAAGCGAGTGTAGCCCGGTGGCTTCACTTGCGCTGCAGCGAACAAGCGGGGAAGCGCGATCCAGCAATTGTCATAGAGATCAGTGCATTACTCACGCAAAATGTTGCCTGTTTGATTTTTCTGAAGCCGCTCAAGTAGTCAGACATTGTTAGGAGGACGTATATTTAACAATTCCAACGCGAAAAAGAGCACGGGGACTCCCACCGACGCCGAAAACAACGCAATTTAATGGTTTGTTTATGGGCGACGGCGGGCTTCGTGCCCACCGTCCACCGCGCATGCGCGGCGCCGGTGGCGTCCGCTAGGGGCGCTCCGGTTTGTTTGTAAACATGAGCAAAGTGGGCCCCATTTTCCCATTGAAATTTTCAGAAAATCACTTATGACTTGTCAATAAGGTAACAGTTTGTGCCAACGTTACTAAAACACTCAGTTGGGAAACTCGCCGTCGAAACCTGGGCCGCTGGCGTCCACCGAGACCGAGCTAAATGCGACAACAGCGCCACTCTTTTTCGTTTTTCTATACTATGGTCACCTTGAGCTTTTTGAAAGCCTGTTTTTGCGTAAAAACAAACGGAAAAGACTCTTTTTCTATGAAATTTATTTGAGTTTAGTACCAAATGATGGGCGCGTGATGTTTTTATCATCTTTAGTTCGAAAGGTTTTGTGGAACAATTAATATTGTTTTTATACAACCATGCCTCAGCGGGCCTTTCAGGTAGCGCGTCCTGACCTAGGTCCATTTTAACTTCGGTAGCTGAACGCGGCGCGTCCGCCGGGGGTGGCACCCCTGTAACCTCTACCGCTGTATCTGTTCTGAAAGCCAAAATAGAAGTCACGTGCAGTTTCTCGAGTGGCCGCTGCGGGAGAAATGGCGGCGTTGTGTTCGTCATTAGCTCGGTGCACGGAGACAGATTGGGGCCACTTTTTCAAAGCTGTCTCTATGGGAGTCTCTCAACTGAGTGTTTTAGTAACGTTGGTTTGTGCTGAAACTTTGGTATCTGGTTCGAACCACAAGTGCTACGTTTAGGTGAAGAATGAGCGTCCGGCGATGCGTAATTCATTTTTGCAATAAAAAAAACGATATATATATATATATATATAATATATATATATATATATATATATATATATATATACGTAATTTATTTTTGCAATAAAAAAACAACTATATATATATATATAAAAAGAGAGAGTTTTTTTTTTTTTGGGGGGGGGGCGGGTTGTTTGTAAAATAGTGGATTGCTAGTCTTGTTGGCGATTGATTGGCATAACGAAAAAACGCTCAAAATGGACGGGACAAAGCCTGAGCAACACACGGGGATGGCTGACCAAACCTTGGAGGCTCTATGAACACATTCGTGCTGTACTTAGCCGTACCTTCGTTCAGTTTTTCTTCGGTGCAGCCAACCACTATTTTCCATTCATTATGTTACATCCTTTGCACTGTCCACACCGAAGCCTGCAGTTTTGTACATTATACAGCTTTTTATTTCCTGTCCAGGCTCGTCGACAGTCTATTCTTCACTCGGTGGAGTATTTGGACTCCTGGTGCTTGCCTGTTGCTGCGTGTGCATCTGCCGGGTGTGCTGTGGGCGCTCCAGACGAGACAGGCGCGTCACGGTGGTGAATGCGGCGCCAACCTCGCAGCCGTGCATGCGAGTGACGGTTGCCCCCACCATAATGAACTCCGCCGCACCGGCCACGGCGGGCCCTGCGGCGCCAGCCGCTCCCCTGCAGTACGCCCCCGTGCCAATGTTCGACCCAGGTTTGACCAGTCACGCGTACTGCCCCACTGCCCCGCCGCAGCCCATGCAGCAGTCCATGATGCAGCAGCCAGTGCGACAGCCACAGGCCCCGTGGGTTCCCCCTCCCAAGTACGCGCAGTGATCCGGCTTTATACCAGCATATTTCACCAGACAAAATTGATGAAGTACATATTCCATTTCACCCAAGTCCGAGCGCAGCTGGTGCTACGACGTAGCCAGTCGGGCAGCACCAAAAGCCCATCGCCACGACGCACGTCGCCTTTGCGATCGCTGACAAACCAATCGTGCACAGTAAATGCACCACAATCCTGCGCGTTCTTTTTTTTTTTTTTTTTTTTTTTTGTGCGTAGTTGGTTTAGTTGGTGATCCCACACTCACAAGGACAATGAGCACCGTCACGGTGCATTTTTGGCTCTGGTCAAGTCAGTAGCGTCGGTTGCGGCCGTTCTTAAAGGGACACTGCCAGAGTATTTATGCACGCCGAGGTTTTTAGTTGTACGTGAGATATGAGAGCCCAACTACCCAAAACAGAATTTGCGGCTCGAAATTCGGTTTCTTTCCGCCCGAAAACCGCCAATCCAGAACTGGCCGGTTTGAGTCGCGCTCACTCTCTTCTCCGCGGTCACGGGCCGTTTTGTAAGGTTTAGACACAACCACCAAATATTATCAAAGTCGTAGGTTATCGAAGGCATGCGCACGACATTAAAAATAGAAAAGAAATATGATACCCATTTTTCGGGGCTTCTAAAAAACTGCAAATGCGTTGTTTTGGGGGGAAAAAAGTATCACAGGCACGTGACTTCCCCCCCCCCCCCCCCCCCCAAACTCTCTCCTCCACAATATTTCATCTTCC